ATGATAAAGAAGGAAGTAACGATTAAGTCGAAAAGAAAGAGAAAAAAATAAAAAATCTGGAAAATAGACGAAAAAATAAAATGAAAAAATTATGTATTATAAGTCAGGACACGATCCACGGGTCTCTTGCGGTCTGCGGCTAATATTTCTGTGGCATGTTTCTAACCTACCACAATTAAACAAATTTTTCTTTATTGTATTAAGGTAACATTATAATATTTTATTTTTATTGTATTCTAAATAAAAGAATTAGAATGTTTTACCTAATTTATTACACTTCACGTTAATTTACTTAACTGACAAAGACTTTAGTATATATTTCTTTTGACAACTGGTCCAAAAACTGCAATCTAAGTCATTATATTAAATAATAAAATAAAATATTTCTCTTTTGACAACAAATAATATTAATAAGGTTGATATTGATAGAATTGTAAAAGATAAATTAATGAAAAATTAATAAAATTAAATTTAATATTATCGTTATATATTTATTTTTCTCCGGCAAAATTATAAACGTATGTATATATTTTTGCGGCCCTCCAACCTATTCAGTCTGGACAGCCTTCTTATAAGTCAATAATAACTGCAAAGTCACTAAAAGTGCAAGTTTGTTGAAATCATCTAATCATATGTTCACAAAACCAAAAACTTACTCCATCACATAGTATCCATAATGCAAATATCTTAAGACATTATGTGGTATAAATGCTGTAATATAGATGTTGGAGTTGTAGACTATATTCTATATTAATATATATTGTTGACGTGAATTAGTTTAATTTACTAAATTTTATATATATTGTCAAGCAAGTACTAATACATTAAATAGTAAAACAGTTAAAGTCGTTTCAAGCATCACAAAACCACATATATATACATATGGTATATTAAAAAATGTGATATTGCCTATTTGCTATGCTCACCTAGCTATGAAAACCAGGTCATTTTCAACAATTGTCTAAAAACGGATTGAGTAACATCTTGAGGCTTTTGTGCAATGAAAATGATATAATGAATTCCACAAAATCGAAATAATCAATTCAATCAATATTTTGTTTTATTAAGTACTCAGATCACAAATCTAAAGAAACAACATATAATATATTAACTAACAACCAATAGGTGATCTCATTCTTTTCTAAATTTCGTAAAAACTGTTTAAAAGTAGTATAATTGTGCTTAACACTAAACTACAACATAAAATTTACTATGTAAAGCTCTGTATATATTACTTTGATTGAGAATTCAATTGTATTCAATAAACGTTATTCATATATTAAATGTTGATAATCATTTAAGATCAAATATATCAATACATATCCTACTGAGTTAATATATTTAATGTTATTACAGCAAAAATTTATTTGAAATTGCTTTTTTATATCTAATTACTTCAGATCGTTACTTTTTGAATAAGTTTTAATATATTTGATATTTTATTAAAACAACTGGTTATAATTCTCAATAACTTTACAAGCTAATTACTATATATAGAAATTGATTCCATACATGGTTGATTAAATTTTAATGCAATGAAATAACTTTTAGTACCTTTATTTTTCCAATTATTTTTTAAACCATTATCTTCGAATTCTAAAACTTCAAAGAATAATTACATATTTAAAATTATTACTTTTATAACAATTCATCCGAATATTATTCATTATTATAACAAATAGTATTTGGTGGGGTTATATGGCAGACTAAATTCTATTTTTAGCGTTTTGATGTGGAATTAATTTTGAGTTCTAATCAGTTTTATCATGTTTTAAAAATAAGTAAATATTTATATAAAAATTCTGTTACGATATACACAATCTTTAAAGAACCTTTTGACCATTCACTACTTTTACTCTACTTACTTGATGTTCGTCATATAAATGGATCTTCTCCGGATCTTACAACTCTATGAAGAAATTTGTTTCAACGTAAAAAGTTCACTAGTACACCCTTTTTAATAAAAATAAAGTATTATATATTATATTTCTTAGGGATATTTCACTCCTTTTTTTAATAAAAAAAACATTTTTCACTACAACAATCTTTAAAACAGGTGTTCATCTGAGATAATCTCATTAATGATGAGGTTATCCCATCAGTTGACAAAAAAACGGCGAAGACTTTTTGTGTTACTAAATATTTAAGAAGTAACCAAAACTCTCCCCAACTAACATGAAAAGCAAACAGATCTTACAGACTTTCGCATCACTCAAAGCGTTAAACTAAGAATATATCAAAGAGTCAGACATGATCATTTAGCTATGAAAACCAAGTCATTTTCAATGATTGTCAGAAAACAGATTGAGTGACATCTTGAGTTCTTTTGAAACCGAAATGATAGAAGAAACTTAACGAAATCCCAGTAATTTGATCTAATCAAGAATTTTTTTTATATTAAATATCCCGAATCACATATGAAACTAAAAAACATATATAAGTTAGGAAGCGACATGTGCTCTGATTCTGTTCTAAATTTCGTGAAAAGTATTGAATAGTATTGAAATTTAACAATTAAAAATAAAAAAATATAATTAATTAATTAATTCAATTATTATACAGCTGGTTTATGATTTCGTTCTAATATAAATACAACAAGTAAATTTATTGATAAAAACTTTCCTAGCAAAAGCAACAAAACTCCAGAAAAATATGCGAACATAAAAAGTCAAGTACGGCTTTGGGTTAGTTGGTTAAGGTGCGCTGACTTTGAGCTTCAAAGTCGGCAGGGCACGAGTTCAACCCTTAGCACTTGCAGTCTCAAAAATAATTATTTACGAATAATTAAATACAAGAATTATTTCCAAGCCTACTGATGATGGTTATTTGGCAATATTCAAAACAACTGCATGGTCAGTCAAAAATTTAATTAATTAAAATAATATTATATAAATGAATTTTTGTTGTTGTTTCACTACTGTTCGGAAAACCTCCTTATAAAATGTTGATATATAGAATGCCAAATCCCATACATAACCAATTTTATCAAAAGGAATTATAGCCTTCTTTGAGCTTGTTTTCCAGTAATACTTTTTTAAAGTCATCCATCCATCTTACTTATTAGTTTTCGTTGCTAATAACATTTCCTCACATAACTCTCACCGGATATTTTCTAATAATGAACTATCTAGCTATTATGATGTATAGCACAAGATTTGCTGCGTACTCTGCGCTGTCAATAAAATTCACAATCCATTTCTTCTCAGCAATCCTAGTCAATCTTTTTATTTACTCGAGTAGATCTGAAGGCTTGATGCAATGTAATGTGATTAATTCATATCGTAAATATATATCTGTTTAAAAACTGGAACTTTGTGTTGTTAAAATTCTTTTGTAGGTCCCAAGTATATTCTGTATTTCTAGTTTTTCATCTCTTTTCTATATCCAAGGTTCAAGTGTTGTTGTCGCCGTTTCTAGATAATTTCTTATTGGTATTTTGGTTTAAACGTTATAATTAGTTAATTAATGAACTATACAATGAAATAACTAATATCTAGCAATGATAGATTTTCTATTAAATCTATTCCCAACGCTGTATCAATAATAACGAATTATCAATAACGAATTATTTTCAGAACTGTATTCAAAAGAAGGTATAAAGTGAAACTCGCTTTATACTACATTCACACAAGAGTTTTGTTTGTAATCTTAACTGTCAATTGTTGTTGCTTTCAATGCAAAATGAAAATTTTTGACAACTAAAATTACAAACAAAACTCTCGTGTGAATCTAGTATTAAAAGAAAGTTCGAACTTTGTTGTACATATTTTTATATGTCAAAGTCAGTTTTGGTAACTGGTTTTGAGCTCAAAGTCGATTTCAATCAGCAAAATTCGTAATATAAACATGATATTCGATTTATTGTCATTTAAGAAATTGACGAAATGAATTAATACAAATTTTAAAAAGTTTTCGTAGTATGGACACATCTTCAAATGTAAACACAAAAATTGAGTCTAAAATATTTGAAAGATCTAAACATATCTTTTGACACGACTATTAAAGAGAAAAGGATATTTGAGTACATAACTGTAGGACTTCTTTAAGAATCAAATCAGTTTATTACTATATATAATCTAGTATTTCATTTGTGAGTCTCAAATTTGTTTCTTTTTTTATGCCACATCTGACGGGTTCAATTGATTTTATGTATCAATATTGTAGACGGGGTTGTATACTAATTAATCCTTAGTGGTGAACGTGTTTAGTATTTGCTACCAAGTAGTATTCACTGTGTAAATCTCTTTGACATATGCAAGAAAGTTTTCCGCTTTCCTGTTAATTCCTCCATTTTACAATTACCTATACAAAGCCAATTTTATTTATTTATTATTTAAATGAAGCAAATGTGTCAGTGTAAACACCATATTTCGTGCAAAATTAGTTTTATATTAAACATGTCCAATACTATATGTTGGTCAGAGTAGCAGTTCATTGTATACGTTTTACAAGAAAAAGAGGTCGTTACGGTAATTGAATTAGAAGTGTTTACATATCCCATATTAATTGAAACAATTTGGCAAACATTGAATAAGTTAGTTCTAGAGACCCTCATACAGAAAAAACACGTTGGAAATGAAAGTTTAAATAAAATTTAATTCAATATTAACTTTAAAAAGAAGCAGGTGAAAATAAGCCTTGCATAATTACTGTTTAACCATTTTTAGATTAATATACTTAAAATTTTTATTTCAAATTTTGTTTAATACAAATGTTCCTCAAAAGTAAATATGTAACATTAAACATGTCACATTAAACATTAGTAATTGCTTTCAATAGTGAGTTTCTTTGGATTAAACTTAAGTTAATGGTACTTGCTTGCAACAACTTTCAAAATATATCATAGAATATTTAGGGAATATAGAGAAAATTATAAACTAGTCAACACTGAATAACTGTCAAAAAACAAAGTTTCTTGACAGTTACAAACTATATTGTTATAATAAAAACTGTTTGTTAGTTAGATTGTTTTGAAAATATCTTGCAAACAATCACTCGCTATGGTAAAAGGGAGAGTGAAATTTAAGAAGTGGCTCTTTGAAAAATTGCGCGAATGGGAAGCAGATGAGGTGATTTTTGGTAATTACATAATAGATATGTTGGAGAGCGACGGGCCAGAGGACGAGAAGGTGGAAATATTGCAGGATCTCCTGAGTGCGATCTTAAGTGAGGATGCCACCAACTGGGTTAGTGCCGTACTTCAGAAATTCGATGAACTTGGTCTAAAGGAAAAGGAGACATTAAAACCTTTCGTCACTGAAGTTAATGGTCGTGTGCCTAAGTTGCTTGAAACTCAAAAAGTCCATATGGCTCCTGAAAAATGGAAGTACACCAAACTCGAGCAATCCATTCGTGATGAAATCGTTTCACGCTACTCATCTAATACTGTCGTTAAAACTGATAAGCTTCAAGCTCGTAGGACTCGTGCATTAACTAGCGTCTTCTCTGACGGTACTGAGTTTTATGATGTCGCCCAACTACAAAAGGAACGCAGAGAAGAAGCACGTCTTGCCAGGGAGGCCCAAGAAGCAAAGCAGCCAGACGAACGTGAGGTGCTTAAACAGTTGCGTCAGCAAAGAAACGAGAAGCGTAGAATGGAAAGAAAGGCGCGTCTAAAATTGTGATCAGCATTTATTTACTGAAGACGAAATGATTACAACGCTGTTTATAACTAATCTTCATTCATTTACATACTAAATATTGTAACACAGACAACATTTTAATAAATACTAAGTAAGATATAATTATTTATTTTTATATGAATACAATATTCAAAATAGTTATACGTTTGTAACTAAAATATAATACATTCTTTAGAATTAATTATTAATTTGATTTTTAGTCTAATATATCAAAAAGTAAAACTAAAAAACTTAATTTTAAAAAGAAAATTTTGTGTTGCACTGAAGTAGAGTGAATACCTTTATTTCTAAAAAAACTGAATTATTGATCAGTGATCTTTGAATATACTTCCCTGATTTAATTATTGGAATATCTTCTCTCAGACTATAAGTACCAAGGATTGCAGTTATTAGTTTTATTTTTAATGATGCTAATACGTTGGAATATTTGAATAATTTTCATACTCTCAATCTCAATCTATCTTTTGAAATAGTTTAATCTATGTATAGATGTGGTCTTCCTACATTTCCTTATAAATAATTCTGCCTAGGAAAACTTATTCTCTTATTCATTCGTCTAATGTTCTACCGAAAGCATCGACAGCCACAGTGCGGGAACTTAAACCACTAAATGAGAGGGGATAGTTGAGATAAAGAAGTCTAGTATAATTAAAAAGGGTGCAAGGTAAGTGGAAGGTAGGGGCTGGAACTTAAAACTCTTTTTAAAATAAAGTAGTTTAATTATAAAAAATTTTTACAGATACAATATTGTAGATATTAAGAAAGTTAAATAAATTAAGTATTTAAACACTGCACTAAACAATTTTTCTATAATAAAACTTATGTATTTAAAAAGTATGGTTATCATATTCGAAAGCTTAGTTGGAACTGTTCTGTCTTTTAGCTCACTTCTAATTCTTATATATATGGTAATAACCATTTATCTTAGTTTATCCATCGGTAATTGGAAATAGTTAATCATGCTTATATTTCGTTGGTTTTCCCTCAGAAAAAGTGGATTGCCAATCCACTGTTTCTGTCATCGTCTTCACATCATGTCATTAATCAATCTCTTCAACATTGATTTGCCTGGTATTCTGTACATAAGGCCAAGCCTTTAAATATGATGAGCCGTCATAATTTGAACAATATTGTCTCCTTAATTCTGCCTCTTACTTAAAACAGTAACAAGACTGAACCAAAAATTCTTAGTACATTTTTTCTTTAATATATTGAGTTGTTAATCGCATAAGTATGCAGCCCGTAGATCTCACACATATACTCTGCAATCGGATAAACTAGTGTTTTAGTATCACGTGCTCAAAAAAGGTTATGATAAGGAACTCGTGTCATGACGTCAGCTAATAAAAATTTATATATTTGAACTTATTGATATTTCAATTTAGCGGTTTTAAAACTCAATTAAAAATACTAAACCGGTAGACTGACTTCACTCTTATGTGGGTCCCTGAACATCGAAGGGAGCGAAAAAGTTTACAGCAAGGCTTACTGGTCATTCCTTCTAATCATTGGTGTATAGAAATCCACGCAACGAAACTGTGCATTAAAGAATAAAGAAACCTTTAAACATCCGGCTTTGGGGTTAAGAGGAAACAGCTTTTTAAGAAGCTATCTCTTTGATAGCTTAGACTGTTCAACGGTAAAGCCGAGAGACCTAATAAATTATCTAAACTCAACGGAATCGATTTGCTCTGTATTCTTCTATCTTAGGGTTTCATACGAGGAATGTGGTTGCATAACCGCGAAAAATCGTTAATTGAGGTATAGGGAAAGTTATTTGATGGCCTGTAATTGAAACCAATCAATCAACTAATGAATAAAGTTTCTCATTATTTCTAGCAAAAGTATGTTGTCGACAATATAGTTGACAATGACATGGTTTAACAGTTTATGAAAGAATGGGAGATATCTTTTAACTACTTTCACATTAAACTTACGACTATATTTATCCTTTTCAGTTTAGTATCAAAATTATGAATTATTATTTACAGATAAGTTTTCAAAGAATATTGGTTCTCTTCATCTAGCTGTCAATTGAATGAGTTGATCATCGGACTAGTTCAGCTGCTATTATTATGATTACTACAAGACATAGGTACATCAGAATTGCAACAGCTACAGCAATAACTTTATACGTACATGTTTGTCGCCTCCGGGTATTGCAATTTAAGTTCAATGATCTTATATCCTTACAACTATACAATTAATTCAACCATTTTATTTCATTTCATCCGCACGATTCAATTTGATCCGTTACAATATGAAATATGGTTGTCGTTCTTACAGATGTTGTTGTTGTTGTTGTCGTTCCATGTCAGCCATTCGCATTAAATTGCACTCGTATTGATGGAATGGAATGGATGCATGCTCTGAAAAACGAAGAAAATGTATATGTAGAAAAAGTTACATATAAACACAATCGTTTAGCCTTATTCCCACTTAACAAAATTGCATTTTACTGGTTTTCAGTTTCATTACAAATGCAAAAATGCAATATGACCGCCATTATTATAGCTGCTTCTGCAATTCCTGTTGGTGCTGCTGCTGCTGCTCCTGCTTCTAACTTATCGTTGCATTGCTGCTGTTATGGTCGTGTTGATACATTTCTTTGGCTGATACAACAGCTATTATTGAGCTCATGTATTTTTATATTTGTAGATCTCTGCTGCATTTGTCCATCTGCCTGTTGACTATTAAGCTGATATTCGTTGCTGCCATTGCAGTCAGTGCAGATACGCGAATGAATAATCAGTAATGCGTCTGCGTACTCGCACACTTGATTCAGATACATTTGACTGGACTTCAGATGTTCTGGTTTTTGATTAGCTTATTTGTTAGCCCTTTTCCCCTTTTCATATTTGCACTGCGTCAAGTGAATTTTGTAGCCATCACTTAAGCAGCCATACGTCGATGATCGACGACCGACAATCGACGATCGACGATCGAGTTCTGTTTATTATTGAAAATCTATTTATTTTGTGCAAAAACCAATGCGAATTTGAATTTAGCCACCGGACCATGCATGTTTAATTTAAAAACATTTTTATGAATTTCTGTCTCTTCACTGGATCGTTGCTTTAGTATCTGCAAGATACATTTGCTTGTCTGTCCGCGCATATAACTGACTGTCTAACTATTTATTCTTTTATATGCCCACTTATAAATGCTTCGGTGGATGTGCTTATGGCGGCAGTGCGTTCAGCTTACCGTCTGTCGGCTTAGCCGTCTGCTCTTGGCTTATTTGTGCATTTATCTCCTTTGCAAATATATTTGTAGATACATATATGCACATATGTATCTGCTTTTGGTTTTATTGCCTTTTCTGCTCTTGGAATGGAGTGGCAACTTTGATTTGCGCTGCTTTAACGCTGATGTATTCCCATAAGCGAAATCAATAAATTACGTGACAGGAATATGAATACGATCGGGCTAAATTGCCAATTGTGTACCAGAGCGTACATTGATTTGGCATGGCTTACCTGTTTTCATATGAGTTTTGTACTTTGTTTCATATTTATTTTTACTTTACTTCTTCTTTTCAAGTTTGATTGATTCAATCAATATATGAATTTATATCGTTTGCAGATCTGTGGAATAAATTATATTCGACTGTGTAACCGGGTTTGTTTTTTTCTACCTAGTCCTCCTCGATGTTGTTGTACTTGCTCTTATATCTTGAAATATTTTCTTCTGAAAATTGCATCGGAATGGGTGGAGTGATCTGTTCGTACGCGATAAAGGTGGAGACATCATTTCCATGTTGTAGATATGCAAGCAAAATATTGTTTTATTACTCCATAAAAGGATCGATGTGTAATTTGATAAATTGTTTGAAATTTTTATTAAATTATTTTAAGGCTTGAGGAAATTGTATGTAATAAAATTCTGTTTTTGTTTTTCGCATAACTTTTAAGAATATTCTCTTTTTGGTATTTATGAATAATTCTGTTGAAATGCAGATCACTGATTTATTCTTTTGCTTGTAATTTAAGTTAAAAAGATGATTATAAAAAACGGCTTTTGTGGAGAGGAACGCATATATAACTGGAATAAAATTAAGTAAAATTGCTAAGGACGAATTTGAAGTTTTACTCTCAAGGAGTTTCTATACGAACTTAATTTTTTACTCGGTTTACGATTACTGATAGCCATTATATTTTTCAGTATGAAAAAGTATATAATCTTCTTAAATGACAATCGTCTATGTTGAAGCGTCCTAACACAATCTCAGTGAATGCCCTAAATTAAGTAAAAACAGACTTAAATACTTAGGGAACAAACTTATAGCTCTTCAAAATACATGAAAGAATACCTACAAGACTCTAAGATTTATTAAAAACCTAAGGATCGGTTAAAAGAATTAAGGTCAGCACAATAGAATAACTGAATTACGGTGTTTAGTAGTCTCCACTTTATCGGCTAATAGTAATAAAAAGAAACTTAGTAAATATTAAATATGTACTTCCGATATATATAGTAATTTCATTTACCTGAATATAAAAATGCAACTGAAGAAAGTCAAAATACGTCATTTTATGAATCAAGTAAAGATAAATTATATTAATATAAATAAATTGTATACTTATTAATATAAATAGATGTAAATAAATAATAAATTAAAGTATATTAAAATTTTAATTAAATCATTATTCAAGGCGTTCATATAACGACTGATCGAACAAGTTTTTGTCTCCTTCGAGAGTGATAAATTCATTCGCACGTTTCGGTAATGTATAAATGTCGCATTTTAAATTGTCTTAAATTATATTATCTTAAAGCCGTAAAATAGGTTTCTGTTTCGGCAATTACTTTTTCATTGAAACGAAATACCCATAGGATCTGTACACAGATGCTAGCCACTGGGAGTCAGTCTTTCAATTTAAAATGCAATTGAGTATTTTTGGTATCATAAAGTAATTCTTTATATTGTATAGTAGGTATAGCATGCTATATCAAGTACATTCAACTTTCTGACTTGGAAT